TAACGCTTTTCCCATTGACATAGATAAAAATAAACTTATTGGACATTTAAAAGAGGCAATTATAACAAAGAAAAAAAAAATTTTTGGTATTGATGTGGACAAATTAAAATCTTGGAAAGTAGAAATACCAGATGAGAATAAAAATATGATAAATAGGCTTACTTTTCATATTTATGATATATTATTGCCAACTAGATGAATATGTAAATATTTTAATGAACCTTGAAAAGAACCTATTTATATTGTTATAGTATTATCTGAAGATATTAAAAATAATTATGAATCAAGTTTAATTAATTAGATAGCAGTATTATAAAACCTAAATGAGACTATATATGGTAAGTTAAAAAATCTAAAATATTATATTTTATTGTATATTAATAACTATGATACAACAAAAAAAACTATTAATGTTATACAACTAATCTTTCACCCAATATGTAATATATAAAAAAATTAGTTTACAATACCAAATTATTCTGCTACTACATGTTATAATTATAATCTTACACTATTTTATTATATTAAAAATAGTGTGGGATTATAATTATAATATATAGTAGCAGAATGATTTGATATTGTAAACTAATTTTTTTTATTTTGCATTCAGATTAAGGATCAATTGTGTAATAATGATAATTCTTCTTGTTTTATAGTACTCTGTATTATACAATGAATATCAGATAAGCATTATAACTTATACTAAGCAAATATAAAAATAAATATTTTTTTTTAGAAAAGCATCATTAAGTTTTGGAACAAACATTTTGATATAAAAATAGTATTTCCCATTCCACAATATATAAACAATGACAAATTAAATGACTTAAGTACTATACTACTATTAAGAATAATCAAGTTTATTTAAACAAAGGTGTTATTATTAATGCTGATAGAATATATATTGATTTGAAATTATATTCAGAATTAATAGATAATTTTAGCAAAATATTATATTTATCAGATAATATATTTTTTTCTTGAGCAATATAACAATGAGTCAACCCTTTTTATAAGAAACTGCTATCTTTAATTAATTAATTTAATTGAAAATCAAAAAGAAGATGATCTGCAAGGAGCAGTTGTGCAATTACCAGAACACCTGAAATTGAAAAATCTTGGTTTTTATTTCCTTTTTTATATTCATCATAAGTATTCTAAATCTACAATTGTATAGCATTGTGAAAAGAATATTTGTTATCAATTTTTGCCAGATTGTAGTATAAAAAAAAATAATATTTACCAATTTGAAATAACATTAAATAATCCTGACAACTTTTTGAACATAGATGCATATTTTAAGATTTTTATATAAGACATAAATGTTGCTTATAATATTACTAAAAGTGGAAAGATATGATAAGATGATAAAGTAGCCAGGCTTTACTAAATACTTTATGCCTGTCTAGTTATTTGAGAAGATTAATAAATCATAGGCTACCTTTTATAAAGACTAGAAAAATAATAAAGACACCCTATTTATATGCTAATTATTTAGAAATTTATTAGATAGGTGGAGACCTATACCTAAGTTAGTTCTTATTAAGTGGAATAATGAGTCATATCAAGCAAACTATAAGCAATTAGTTGCTAAGGTTGACTATAAAAAATGTTTAAACTCCATTAACAAGTCAGGTATGCCTGAAGATATAATTAGCAATAAGCTTGTATATTTTGATATAGATAATACATTTACTAGTGCAACTTACCACTTTGTCTCTCATGAGATACATGACAAAATCATAAGAGATTATAAGCAAAAAATTAAAAGAAGTATTTAAGACTTTGTTATATGCTATGTTAGATTTTCTAAGGTTAGTAGATTATATTTGAAAAGTTTGACCACCTAGAACTACAGAGGAGAGGCATATTAGAGTGTAATATCTAAACAATAGCAATTCAATAATTATGAAAAAGCAACTCAAAAAATTAGAGTGCAATAATTTTACTACACTAAATGAAGTAAGTAAAGGGTATTATAATAAGCTCATATCAAAAACATTTGCAACAATAGATTCTTTCAGTGTTAATAATAATAATCTAAATTTATTTCAAATAATGGTTTCAGAAAACTATGAGATTAAGGTAAGAAAATGTAAATTCTAGGTGGGTGAAAAGTTCTAAACAGGGACCTTTTTACTATCTCTGCTATATTGAAAATTTTTTTAATTTATAAATCTTGGCTACTTTATATTCTATTCATAGTATATATATATTTATAAAAACTTTTAATATTGGAGAAATAGTAAAAAAAAGACCACTATTCAGGAACTTTTCACTTACCCAATATAATTAAATTTATAATTAATTCAGATTGTTTATATAGGTCAAAGGGCTCAATAACCTTAACCGGTCACTTCTATAAGTAAAAACTACCAATATAAATATGTATTTTGTTGTCCCACCAGATGTTTTTAAGAGCTTCCCTTTACAAAAATATATAATAGCCAAAGGAGAAAACTCTTAAAAGGCTCAAGGGTGGTCTAATAAGATCACCCAATATGCTTTAGCTTGATTTGAAAATGACAAAAAAATGTTCTAATAAAGAAATGCAAAAAGATGATGAAACCATTGAAGTATCAGAACCAAAGCTATTAAAGCTACCAAAGCAAATTATACCAAGAAAAGTCAAAAGAAGAAAGTAAAGCAAAATAGTAGGATGGGGTTCTCAGATTAGTAATCTTACTAACCTTACTGACCTTTCTTGATTATTGAAAACCCGAATATACCTTTTATTTTTATATAGTGAGCTTTTAATACCTTTGACTTAATTAATATTACAAATATCTTTAAACTTTATACCAGCATATGAATTTTAATTACCTTTTCCTAATAAATATTTTTTACTAATAGTACTTTATTATAAACATTTTCTATTTACTATTTTTATTAATAAAAATAAATAATAAATTTTACATATAATTTGTATATTAGTCAGAGGGGTGCTGGTCAAAATCCCAACAAAAAAATCCTGACAGTAAAAATTCCAACAAATCCCAACAAATCCTGACAACAAAAATTATTGTTTATTTAAATTAGAGTAAGATTAGGTGAGTGCATAGGTTAGAGTTAGGGTGTGCACCTAGGTTAGGGTTAGAATATAGGTGATTTTATATAGTAAAATTGCTCAACAAACACTTTTTTTGATTGTTAGGATTTGTTAGGATTTTGATTGTCAGAATTTTTTTGTCGAGATTATGATTTGTCAGGATTTTGTTTGTCATAATTTTGACCCAAACCTAGTCAGAGAATATACTATATATGTACAGTGCTAATTACACCATTTATGGTAATAGAATGCTGATCTAAAAGTTCCAGAAATTTCTTTATATCAATCCAAGAATGATTACTAGCCAATCAAATCAACTGAATAAAAAAAATTTGATTATTATGCAAACTAGAATATTCTAAATATTATTTACTTTTTTAATAGTTTATTTATTTTTTTAACAAAAGTTAACTAGAGTAGATTATTGTGGATTATTTAAACTATATGTTTTCTACTATCTATTAATGCTTTTATTTAGAAGTTTTAAGCAATAAATAAAATGGGTAAAAAATTTCTTAAAACTACTAGCGAGAAGTTATACAAAAGCCAATTAAATCTGTGCAGATCATTCTAGAAACAGATTTTCTAATTTGCCCTTATTTGCTATATTCTCTGACTATATATATGTAAATATTTACTGTTTGTCAATACAAAATCTGAAAAATAGAATTAAACTTTTTTTATTTTAATTTGTGAGTCTGTAGAGAAATATTGATTAAATATTAAAAAAAAATTAGCTGCAGCTTCTTTTTTTAGATGCCTAAACTTTGAATGAAGGTTACTTGACATTTACTTACCAAATTTGATTGATTTTTTTTATTTTAATTCTATAGGATTATAGAATTAAAATAAAAAAATTGACTGAATTTGGTCAGGTAAGTGCCAAGTAATCTTTGTACAAAATTTAGGCACCTATAAGAAAAGAAGCTGCAGCTAATTTTTCTTTAACTTTTAATCAATATTTCTCAACAACTGTATATTTAAATTCAAATAATTTTTTTATTTTAATCCTACATATTCTCAGAATTAAAATAAATAAATTTTCATCAAATTTAGATAGATTTTATTAAACAAAAAAATTTGCTATAATATTTTTATTTTAAAAACTTTTTTAAAAAACTTAAATAATGATTTCTCAATAAAAATTTATCCAAATTTGGTGTTTTAATTCTGGGAATATTTAGGATTGAATGAAAAAATTTGTTTAAATTTAAATATTAGTTGTTAAAAAATATTGATTAAAAGTTAAAAAAAAAATTAGCCTTCTTATAGGTGCCTAAATTCCAAACAAAGATTACTTGGCACTTACCTAACCAAATTCAGTCAATTTTTTTTTATTTTAATTCTATAATCTCATAGAATTAAAATAAAAAAAATTGATCGAATTTGGTAAGGTAAATGCAAGTAATCTTTATTCAAAATTTAGGCACCTATAAGAAGACTAATTTTTTTTTTTAACTTTTAATCAATATTTCTCAACAACTACATATTTAAATTTAAATTAAATTTTTTTTATTTTAATTCTACAGACTCACAGAATTAAAATAAAAAGTTTTATTTAATTTAAACAGATGGTTATTGAGAAATTATTATTAAAGTTTAAAAATAGAAAAAATTTACCTGATTTTAATTTTTTTCAGATGTTTTAAACTTCTAGCAAAGTTTTCTTGATAATTACTAAACCAAATTTAGCAAACTTTTTTCTATTTCATTTTTGCGAAAGTATAAAATTAAAATAAAAAAAGTTATTAAATTTTATCATGTAGTTATTAAGAAACCTTTACTATAAGTTTTAAAAATTTTTAAAATTATAAATAAGCAGATTGGTAATTCGGACTATTGATCTGCTGAATTTTGGTATCTTCCCCAGTATCGCCACCAAAATGTTACAGGCATGCTATCGAAAAATTCTTTAGATTAGAGTTAGGGTCTATACTAAGGTTAGGTTTAGAGGAGTGTTAAAAGTAAAATTGCTCATGGAAAACTTTTTGTAGAGCGTTAAAGATAGTTTCTTATGCTAGTTTTTGAGAAACAAGCAATTTTTGGCAAAGCAAACATTTGTTTTAAATTTTCCTGATTGTGTAATGTTACACCTGATCTTGAATTCTGATTTGTTTATGCTACAAAAATTGGCATGTGACTGTAAATAG